TTTAAGATACGTATCGGGATACGCCTTGGATATGCATGTGTATCAGAGAAAAACTATAATACGCATATATACGCTTGGAAACACTATAAGTACTTTAGTAAATCATAAAAATACATCAACAACACTAAATATAAGACCTCAATGAGGTGTATATACATTAAATCAATATATTTTAATGGTTTTATGAAGAATATATTATAGCTAATTATAATTTCACTAAAAATCCTATGCTTAACTATAATTTATAAATTACAATTCTTAAGTTTTAATGTTTTATGGGATGAGAAAAACCCAACTCTCCTATCCAACCATAAAACATGAATTGGCACAACTTCTATGTGAAAATATAATTAATAATTATTTATTGTTTAAATAATTATTATTTATTATTCATTTCCAAAAATTATAAAATAAATAAAATTATATAATATATTCAAAAAATAGTTATTAAAGAAAAATTTTCAATTGTGGATATGATAGATCATCCATAGAACTATAATATATTCAATCATTGTAATCAAATGATAAAATATAATTAATTATTATTTTTAATTCTAAAAAGTAAAACATAATTATTAAAGAAGAAATTTCAATTAGTCTATGGATATGATAGATCATCCATATAATTATAATATATTCAATTGTTATGATGAAATGATAAAATATAATTAATTATTAATTATTTTTTAATTCTAAAAATATAATATATATATATATATACATATACATTAAAGAAGAAATTTCAATTGCTCTATGAATATGATAGATAAATCCATAGATCTAATACATATTTAGTCTTTATAGGCAAAGAAAAAACTTACAATTTCAAATTTTTTGTTAATTTATATTTTTCCCAAATATCTTCATGAAATTTCCATAAATCTGTTGATAGCACAAAAAAATGTGATTTTGAAAGTAAGAAATGTAGATCAACATAAATTTAAACAATCAAGAAAAAGGAAATCACAAGATATTATAAAAGATTGAAAAAAATTTACGGAGAATTACAAATACACATGATGCAGAATTCTAAATTCCAGCCCCCCTACTACTAGCCCTCTCCCCCCCTATAACCACATCCTACCCGTGAATTTGGTATCAATTCATGCTCAGGATGTACTTTGGGGATATAAAATTCTGATCTAGGCTGATTGGTCATTCTCCCAAAAATTTACCTATTTTTGTCATATTTTTTCAAAATTTGAAAATTCTTTTAAAAAAATAATGATTCGCACTTGTTTCTTACAAAATTTTGTAAATCTAACACTTTAGGAATGAAGTTTGGAGCTTTAGAGTTATTTGGGGGTGAAAGAAGGCTTATTTCGGGGGAAAGAAGCTTGCTTTTCCCCCTTTAATTTTATTTTAGTTTTTGGCCATATCTTTTTTGTCGATACATTACTGATACGCCCCGATACACCTTCGATACGTAGGGGTGATCATTTCAGCCTGGCCTGGCCCGACTTAGAAATTCTGGGCTTGGGCATGGGGTTTTGTGTTCAAGCCCGAGCCCACATCAGGCCCGCACATTTTAGGCCTAGGCTTGGGCTTAATACTTCAAGCCTGGCCCGACCTGCATATACTTAAACTTGCACATTTTGTGTATAATGTATACATATGTATACATGTTATTTTACATTATATTATATATTATATATATAAGTATTATAACATGACATGTATAATTTATATTATATGTAATATTTTATATTACATAATGTATAAAATAAGTTTATATGCATGTTATGTCATTTAATTTATAGATATATAATGTTTTACATATGAGTGACATTGGCCCAGAATCAGGCCCGGCTTGACCCGGGCCCGTATAGACCTAGGCTAGGACTTATGATTCAGGCCCGGAACCCTAGATTGGGCCGGTCCCGGGCCTAAGCTATAGCCCTTATCATAAGTGCAAAGCCTGGCCCAGCCCATGATCACCCCTATTGATATGCCCCCGATACGCATGAAAAAAGACGAAACGTCCGATTTCCATGCGTATCCTGCATCAATTTTTAAAAGATACGATACAATACGCCCCATATCAGATGTATTGTATCGAAATTTTAAACCTTGATTTCAGAAGAAAAACGGAAAAAAAAGAAAAATGAAACTTATCTCTCCAACTTACTGTAAGAAAAAAAAATACTAACTTGAAACTTATCTCCAAAGTTCTCACTACCATCAATAAACCTCTCCAAAACTTTATTTCCAACATACTGAGACCATCTTTAGAAGTTGGAAACACATTCGAAATAGGATTTATCTCCAACGTTCTCACAGGGTTTAATTTCTGTGAACACAATACAGAACAAAGGATTTAATAAAAAAAATAGGATTTAACCCAGAAAAAATAGAAAACATAATTTAAAAACATACCTGATATGTGTTCATTGAAGAATGATAAAAAACTGGAGGATGTGGCTTTGTTTTCTGTGTTCACCGGTCTTAGATTTTTAATGTCTGAAGTGGCTTTGTAACTTTGAGTGTGAGAACTTTTTTAGAATGAAGACAGAGAGGCATTCAGAGTATCCATTGAAATAAAAGCTTGTGGTGGGAGATGCATTGTAATCCCAAACGCCTCCTGCAAAACATCTCACTACAAACTCATTGGTTTAAATGATATTATGTGGATTAAAAAAAAAGAAAAATTCAAAATTCTGATAAATTAGGGAAGGGGTGGGAGAGAAAGGAAATATATTTAGGTTGTGTCTGGTTGCAGTGCAATCTTATTTGCGCTAGTATAAATGTATGGGAGTGCAAATGAAAAGAATGCAGATTTTGGTTTAATTTTATTATAGGTTTTTACTTTATTCTCTTTCATGTCTTATTTTACTTCATTTATAATGCAACCAAACAAAGGTAAAATGTGAAACAAAAAATAAATCAGAATTTACACCTAAATCATTTCCACTACCATAGTTTTGCACCAGTGCAAATTTATTTGCATCAATATTTGTCCTGGTAACATCCTTTTTTTTTAATTATTTATTTTTTCTTTTTAACTTTCTTTCCTATTCGTTCTTCCCTTTACCTGATTTGTGATTTCTTTCTCAGTCACCCTAGTTCACCGATCGGATGTTTGAAGGAGGAAAGAATGGTAAGTCCAAAAGCTTGCTCAGTTTCAGAAAAATAAAATGATTAAAATAATTAATTTTCCTTTTGAATGAGTTCTCAAGTGATTCTTCTTTTAGCAAATCCCAGTGGATGGCTTAGAGCATTAAGACTGTTTCCTAGTCAAAGAGGTGAGAGGAAGCCTACTCCCTACCTCGAGGTCCTCAAGGTCCTCAGACCTGTTGCACGTCTCATTGGTACCTGGTAAGGGGTAGGGCAAATCCAGGCCCAATTGTATGATCTGGACCTTGAGCGGAACAGACCCAGTCAATCCAGGGTTAGGGCCTGAGCTATATCCTACCATAATGGGCCAATCCAGGCCCAATTCATGCTCATGTTATCACTTTTATCTTTCATTTGGATTTTTAAATGTCCAACTTAGAGATAGAATAGAATGAAATCAATTCCCAAAAGAATTTCAATTGAGAGGAGAAAATTCTTTTGCCCAAGGTAATAATTTTTTTGGGTTAATTATTCTTAGCTATATATGGGTAAATTACTCATACATCCCCATGGGTTTTTGGTCATAGCACTCCTTTGTTTTACCCAATAATTCATACCCCTTTTGACTAAGAAACTACAGGGGATTTTTTATTAATGGAAGAGATAGGATAAATACAATAGTAGCAAAATGCCGTTAACAATAAACACTAACCATGCCTCTAAAATATGTATTTTGAAATTGATAAAAGTACCAATATTTACAAACATTACATATAATTTTACCATCTCAATTATTATATTTTATCTTTCCTAAACTTGTTTTTCAGCTTTCAATGCTCACCTTAATATTATGGCAGGGCAGTTATGCAGTTTAAAGAAATACATGTAAGGGTGTTTTGGTCCATGCCGATAGAAGGGTTAAAAAGTGAAGGGCAAATATCTTAAAGTAATCGACTTATTTTATCCCTGCCGTTAGCGTCCGTTAACAAAAGGTTGAAAAAAACTATTTTACCCTTCATTTTTCTTTAAATTTTCAAAATTATGCCATCTGAATGTTAGAGCTGTCTTGTGCTCCCTTGCCACTTTCTTATTAATTTCATCTTCAAAAAAGACAAGATTACAGCCTTACAGGGGCCGGATAAGCAACAGAAACTCCACTACTTTAATAAACTAGTCATTACTCAGAGATAATTTGGGATGGAAGAAATAAAGCTGCCTTTGAATATGCACCTTCAATTCAGAACGAAATTTTACAACATATAGCAGACCATGGATTTCCAGAAGACATTATAGCTGATCATCAAAAGACAATGTCTTACATCTGTTTCTCAGTATGATTTCTGTTTATATGTTGATGGGTACTATGACTCAGTCACACAGTAGACTGCTAAAGGTTATGTGTTATTGACTAATAATAGCAAAGTTATTGCAGCTCAAGGAAAATTATGCAATTCCTGTTCCCCAGTTCAGATGCTAAATGGAGGGCAGTGCACCATGGCCTAGAAAAAGCTCGAAGACCACAGAGACATGGGAGCAAAACTGTGGAACTTCAGGCTCTCCATACCATGGTTAGTGGTAGTGGACCCACATTTCTGGTTCCCATGGCCATAGAGACAGGTACAACTTGTAATGTTCTAGTGAACCACAGTGTCTGCTTCTTCTCTTTGAAGGGAGAGAGATCCAGAGGGTAAGTCTGAGGCCTGAGGGGGAGAGGAAACTTGGAAGTATTAGTTAGGGAATTTCAGAACTGGTTAAATCAAGCTACTCCTGTTTGGGCCTAGAGTTCTCAATCTGTATTACCAGTTCTTTGGGCCAGGCCCAGATATGGGTTAAAAGGTCCATAACCCGTGGCCCATTAGTCCGTGATTCAGAGAGACTCGGGGTTTGTCAACGTTACATTTCCCGTGTTATTTTATCCAGACTATAAAAGCTTTTTCTCTTGAGACTTGTGAGTAGTGGTTAGGTTGCCTTCTTTCATCAGAGTCCATTTATATTCCATCGTCCCGAGAATCAGCCCACTGCTCTCCCTTTCTCCAATTCTGTAATTTGCATTACCTCTTTCTCAGTTTCTCCCAGTCTCGCTGTGTTTCTGGAGGGGGAAACCTAGCTGCATCCGTGTCTGTACAGCAAAATGGGTTCAGAAGGATCGAGGGTTGTAGGTGAATTTAGAACCCAGATTTTTTTCTTCTTCTCTATAAAATATTTGTGTTCTTTCTATTATGTCTTTTTTGTATTTGGTTCTGTGCTTTTGTTATGGTTTGTTTTAGTTTACAGTGGCTTCAATGAAATTTTGTATTATTCTTTGGTACTGATGCTTTTTCTAGATGTTTATGCCTTTACGCGTCCTTCCTGCCGGTTTTGCTTTTAGGGTCTTCGAAATTTGAGATCTTCGATTTGGATGGCATTTTGTCTGCTTAAGATTCCTTTCCATTCTCAATTAGATGCATTTCATTTGGAACTGATTAGCTAATTATTGAAGGTATTGGAATATCCTTATTCGTTAATGTACTTTGGGTAATCATCTATCGGCAATTTGTGAAGTTGGAGTCCAAGGGTCGGGGGTGCTCACTCAGCTTCATGTCTGAGGAGTAACTACTTTTTCTGTCGACAAGTTTAATTTTGATAACTTGATGTAGAAATCGAGTATTTTGAAGTTCATCGTAGTGTACTGTGTCATGGTTGCCATTTCCCTTGTCAGAATGCACTGTTAATACCTCAATCTTCTGTATTTATGCAATGATGTTTGGAATACCCTAAAATTGAAAAGTTCAGGATAAATGCTGGTCAAATATCTTAAGAAAGCTACGAGTGGATGAAAACAAAATGAGTTGATGCATTGAAGAGAGTTCCAGGACTCATAATCTGACAAAGGATGAATGTTTAGTAAAAGAAGATGGAAGTAGGGCTTGTATGACCAACTCAAAAAGGTTAGGATAAAGCTAATGGGGTTGAATGTTATGACTGAACATGCATATGTGATCTTGGTCCTAACTTTTTTTACTGTATGATATCAATAAATGGCCCTATCATATACTTAGTGATTCTGCATTCCATTGTAACATGGTGATCCCTTTCTCCTCTTTTTTCTATTAGTAGTATAAGTGGTTTTTCTGCCATAATCAATCTAGCGATTTAGCCATCTTATGATGCACAATAGTTTTTGGTATGATAATAGAAAATGATAACATTTAGGAATAATGTTTTATTGAAAAATATGATATCCCAAGGATTTGATCAACTACTTACAATCACAGTGAAACTGGAGGCTTTGAGATTTAAGATGGTGTACATTCTCTAAAAAGTTTTTTTTTTTACCAATTTCTCTAAAAGTTCTTTCTTGATATTTGCTATTTAAAAAGTTCTTTTTGTCTGGGATGGAACATTCATCTTCCCAGAGTTGAATCATATAACAACCTTGGCTGGCTGCTGGTTTCCCTCTTCTATGAAGGACTCCATTTTTTCTGGTAAATGACAAAAGAGATTGTGTAATATAAATGAGAGTGAGAGGCCCTCAAACTGTATAAAAGGTGTGAAATAGTATCCCTAAAAGGTATGACTATATATAATAATCCTTTACATTTCCAATTAAAAAATGATGAACATCCACTCATTCCTGAATCTATCAGCTTGAAGACTAGAGAAGTTCTCCAATGCCCAGGCTCATCTCATGAGTGTCCAATGTTCCCAATAATAGTCACATGAGTAGCTTCTTTGGCATGAAAAAGTCTGCTGTTCCTCTCCTTCTATAAAACCCAGCAGATGGCAAAAGGTGTGGAGTTTCAGAGAACCCTCCCCTTAGATGAGAAACCATGGATTCTTCATCCTCTAACAGACTCCCTTTTCTCCTCTATATCCAGCATTTTTCTCATTTGTTATAGCTAATTTTTACTGCCTCAACTGTTAAGTGGTGGGCTTGGTGGCAGAGTGTCAGCAACATTTTGGATTGAAATAATGTACAATACAATATTGATCAGGTCTCTGATATGTTTTCAAATTCCCAGAGGAGTTTCTAAGATCTTCATGCATTTTATTGTAGATTAGCTTCCAATTATGTTTGTATTTCTCATAACCTGTAGTCATACCTTAGATAAGTTCTCAATTATGATTGGATTTCAAACAGATCTGCACATACAAATTATATCCATATAAAATACAATACTTCAAATTTCTCAGATTGCAAACCACCTGCAATCTGCCACTATTTATTTGATAAGCAACAATAAAATGACTTTATTAATGAGAAAACTTTGCTATTCAAGAGGTGATAGCAGGGTATAATTTTCTGTATGTTAAATCACTCCATCTCCGTCTTAAACAATATTCAACAGAATGAAAGATCTGGGCAACTCCTGAGTTTGTTGTGATCTCACTTCATATAATTGAGAAAAAGTTACACAGGAAACTTTCATATCTATTCATCTCATTTTAAATTTCTTTGATATGATAATATCCATTTGCATAATACTCAACCAGCTGAAGACTTTATCAAAAGAGAGGGCAACTTGAGACGTATCCCTTTCACTATTAATATTTGACATTAGATAGGCTGTAATTACATTTATTAGCATTATCAATAAAACAAATAAGAACTACAACATTGAATCTAAAAGTCTTTCTTGAGTATCCATTCTCAATTTCTTCATGAACATCTTGTGTCTGGTCCAGATTAGAATTATAAAATTGATCTATTAATATCCTTCAATGGGTTAGTGTGTGAACTCCTAACATGTTTATTTATTTATTATTGATTGGCAGTTCCCAGAAACTTTAGATTGTTGGAAGAGCTTGAGAGAGGAGAAAAGGGAATTGGAGATGGAACTGTAAGCTATGGAATGGATGATGCTGATGATGTGTATATGCGTTCTTGGACTGGGACCATAATTGGTCCTCCCAATGTATGTCTTATTTCACTCATTGCAGAATGATTGTTTGTAGATCAAGGCGTGGTATATATTTTTCTTGAATTTGCATTATCAATTGACTCACTTAAAAATTATGATACTTATCTCTCATTGGAAAAATATATGTATAGTGACCTTTACCTTTGGATGTGTCCCTTGTGCACCATCTGCACTGAACTATCCAAAATTTAGCACTGGATTGGTCAAGGATGGTCTAATTAATTATAGAAAGGGTTAGGTTGGTGCCTTGGTGAACAAAAAAGTCTATTGTGTCCATTTTCATAATATTCATTTAGAATCTCAAATTTTCACTTCTCTTTACAATACTCTCCATACAGAAGAATTTATGTCCTATTTATTTCCTGCTGCTTGGCAGACTGTTCATGAGGGGCGCATTTACCAGTTGAAACTGTTCTGTGACAAAGATTACCCAGATAACCCACCAACAGTGAGGTTTCAAACACGGATAAACATGACATGTGTGAACCAGGAGACTGGAATGGTTGGTATCAGAAGCACACACATCTTTATTATACATGGTTTCTATTATGAGCTTATGTATCACGAACATTCCAGGTTGAACCTAGCCAATTCCCGATGCTGGCTAATTGGCAGAGGGAGTACACAATGGAAGACATATTGACCCAATTGAAGAAAGAAATGATGTCTCCTCAGAATAGAAAGTTAGCCCAGCCTCCAGAAGGTGAGTACATCTTCGTTGATTTTTAAGTGGGCCAAGTGGAAAAACTTTGGTTCTCCTGTCCTTGAAGTCTTAAACAAGCAGAATCTTCACTGTGAATCTATCCACCACTTGTTACTGTTAAATAGATGGGCCACCCCAAGGGTGAAATTGTTGTACTCACACCCGAAATGGGTGATGAGTAAGATGATTGAAACAATTTTAGGTCTCGTTTGTTTACCAGTAAATAAATAAGAGGGGGAAAATTGGTCAATGGGTCTCTCTTTCGCATTGACCAATTTTATAGTGTTCTTTTTGCATTAAGTACTAGGCTCTATGGTAAAGAGAGCTTCATTTACCCGAATAAAATTTACTCATCTCTTATGTGGGTAAATAATTTTTCCACATGGGGGAAAAGTTTATAAAATATGATGGAAATTTACCCTTTTTAACATTAGCTTTTTATGAGTAAGAATGGCATTATATTATTTGAGAATCAAAAGAACATGGGTAAGTGAACTTACCCTTGTCCGGAAAACATTTACCTGGGTAAGTGAGAAATTTGTAAATGAACGGGCACTAATTAGCAATGTTGGCAAACTTGTCTAGACTGGACAGTTGGACTACCAAATCATGAATTGAGAGTTGAAATGGCTTTTTTTTTCCAGTTCTTGGAAATGTTGACTTGTAATCTTACTCCAAAACATGTATTGTAACTTCAAATATTTATTGTTTTATGCTTATTTGTATGTAAAATAGCATCAAATGATAATCTGTGATCATTTTCTAATTTTTCTATTTTCACATTTTTATTATAAAAATTATGGTCTACCCCACCTCACAAATTCCTATTTAACCTTTTTATTTTATTTTTCAAAACCCCCACCTATATCACCCACCTATCCCCTTGAATTTGTGTCAGATTCCTGATTCCTCCACCTGTCACAAATTTGGGAGGTGGGGGAATCAATAATTTGCCCTTTTAATTCAAGCAAGTGGAATGGTCCATTGCTTATTAGTGCAGACCTTGGGTTGTATTTCATCTACTTAATGGTAACAGACTAATAACATTAATTAAAGATGTAATTGCAAGTATCTTTTTAATGCCAGACCTTGCGTTTTAGGCCAAAGATGTTACAATTTTTATATATATTTTTTTTATTTTGTACAAGTAATGGAGGTTTTCGTGTAAAATATATTTTGGTAAATTGGGATAAGGAATTGCCATTATTGGGATGTACTTGCAGGAAACGAAGAGCAAAGGGTGGATCAAAAGGGGATAGTGCTGAAGTGTTGTATTCTCTAAATGTAGTATGACTAAATAGACTAGTGTATATAAATATATCTCCATGTAGATGGACTTGACATAGGCCTATTTTCTTCAATTTGTATGCTCAAGGAAATTAATGGTCCAAGCAATTCAGAACCCGTAGTACTAGTGTTCTTCTATTTTTATTTTTCTTTCTTTTTTTCTCTTTCTAGTTTCAAGTTTCAACAAATATACATGTAATGTAGAACTTTCGGTGTTCTATCATAATTCCACTACACCGTGGTCTAATAATGCATTGTTTTGGAGGTGTGCAAGAGTTTGATTCTGATTCAGAACCAGATATGGCTTTCTTACTGAAGGAATTTAGTTTGTTTTCCAACTTTTTCTAGCATCTAGTGAGAATGTAAAAGCCTCTGATTCTTTTGGGGGAGCAACTTTGCAAATTTGCTCCTAAGGCTCTATTTGGAAGGAGTTCAAATACAAATATGTAGAGTGCAAAACCTTATATTTTGTATTATTTTGTTATATAGATTTGTATTTGTACATATTTGTATTATTTTGTTGTATAGAGTGCAAAACCTTAAGTTTGGAAGGAGTACAAATGCAAATATGTACAATACAAATACATACAAAATAACATGAAGGGATTTTTAGACTGCCTTTGTCCTTTTTGGTCCCCTCTCCCCTTGGGCTTTATAAAACCGAATTTTGATGGCAGTAATGTAAGGAATCCAGGGCCCTCTAAGATTAAAGGAGTTTTCAGTAATGAGGAAGGGATTGTTATTGTTTTATCCTTTGGTCCTATTGGAGAAGGTGACTGTTTTAGGGTTGACATCCTTGCAGCGCTTGAAGGAATTCGAAGAATAAAGGAATTAAATATCAGTTGTTTGATCCTGGAAGGTGATTCAAAGGTGGTGGTTGATTGGTTGAAGACAGAGTACAATGGTTTGTGGAACTTTAACAATGAAGAAGAACAGTTCTTATGGCTGGGTAGGGAAATTGAGATTCAATAAAACAGGGTAAAGAGGAGTGCCAACTCATTTGTGGATGGGTTGGCTAAGCAAGGAATAAATAGGGAGTCTGTATTTTGGCCTAGTTTTTAATCTTTTTTCTTTGCACTCCTTTTGTTTTCTGTTTCTGGGGAGCTAAGATATTTTTTCTCCCCTCTTGTATCCATATTCCCTATTTTCTTTTAATTTAATGAATTTGATGTTATTGGTAAAAAAAGGGATTTTTAGACTGCATTCCACCTCAGAATTCTGATTTGAATTGCAGACCTACAACGATTCAAATTTATAAACACCACCTATAACACCCATACCTACTCGTGAATTGGCATCAATTCCGAGCTGGCACTTACCCCCAACTGTACGATGAAGCTAGGATTTTTGGGGTGGACAGAACTGTAAAAACCCCTAATATAAAATACAAGGTTTTGCACTCTACATATTTGTATTTGTACTCCTAAACTGAGCCGGAGTACAGATGCAAATATGTAGAGTGCAAAACCTTGTATTTTGTATGTATTTGCAGTGTACATATTTGTATTTGTATTCTTACCAAACTAAGCCTAATGCTCAGTTTGGAATGAGTACAAATACAAATACGTAGAGTACAAAACCTTGTATTTTGTATCCATTTGCATTATATATATTTGTATTTGTACTCTCTCCAAACTGAGAATAATATAACATACAAGATTTTACACTTGCATATTTGTATTTGTACTAATAAGGCTCTGAAAAGAGTACAAATGCAAATACCTATTTTACAAATACATACAAAATAATACAGAATACAAGCTTTTGTACTCTAGATATTTGTATTCCTTCCAAACCGAGCCCAAGTGTTATAATACTATGACTTGGTCTTCAATTATTATCAAGGGACAGTTGTAACCTGTTTGTTTTGATGGATGGAGTTAGAATAAAGGGTTTAAACACACAAAAGGTAATAATGCATTTAAGGTCGATAGAATAGATTTCATTTGCAGTAAGCAAAAGAATTTTCATGGAGATAAATGTACTATCTTCGACTATACTTGGTACCGAAATGCAACCTTTTGTGGCCTTTACCAACACAGTTCCAGTTATTTATGGTGCATGCGTCTGACATGCAACTAGAACATTAGAAGTGACATCTGTTGTTTGAGAATATATTGTAGATTTTTGATAGAGAGAAGATATTATAGGTTGAGGTAGCCAGGTAGGCAATGTCGAGAAAAGGAATGGGGAAAAATTATTCTAGGCAATGCTACACCTACCTTCAGTTTCTGCTTTTCCTTTGGTTGACCAGAAAGAGTTTTTCTTATGCATTTTCTCCTCCGAGAGGGGGAAGCAATAAAAGTGAAAACCATAGATCTGCTAGCAACAAAATGTGTAGCACAGTGAACCCAGTGCCTAATTTCTGGGTTGAGGTATCAACTATCAAGTGTTCGGCCACATTTTCAGCTTTTTAGTACTTTTCAGGCCAAGTTATATTTGTCAATCTGACTCCATTACCATTACTATGTTTTAGGGTGAACCCCAAACTTAAATTACCGACCAGTGTATGCCAATTACCCCTGTGAAACAATTTATGACAATTTACGTTAACAAAACGTCCAGTTAGTATTAGCAAATGTGCATAGTAACTATAACGTCAAGGAGCAGGAGTTGCAATGGACAAAAAAATTACGGAAAAGTGGAGTTATAAACATCTAAAATGTCAACAACCCACAATTGGCATCAATTTCGAGTTGGTGGCACGTATTCTGATCCTGGGCTGAATTGTAATTATTCCAAAAAATTATTATACATCTATGGGGTTGGGGGCCTATTTGATTCCTAGATTAGAATTGCACATGTGAACTGAAATCCATGAACCATATACGTAAGATAATTTGAAGAAAGAAATAATAAGATGGAAATCAGCACAAGGGTTAATCATCTACCTAAGTGGTACTTTTATATTTTTTTCACTTAGTGTCCGTTTGGTTTGCAGAAATAGAGGTTTGGAATCAGAATCGGAATGGGTCATTTCAATTTTAACTGTATTATTGGATGGAATTGGAATCTCATTTCTATTACTGATAGAATGGCATTCCCCCATTAAAAGGAATGGCCATTTCTCTCCCCTTCCGTTGGGAATGAATTCTTATTTCAGTTAAATCCAATTCTCATTCTCATTCTTGTCTGAACCAAACAGATTATGGGAATAGATCATTTCATTTCCAATTTTAAGGGATTTTGATTTCAATTCCGACTGTAAATCAAACGGATCCTTAATTTTTTTTAAAAGGTAAAAAAAGGAAAGGAAAATAGAAAAACGTATACAAAGTTTGTAAAGTTTTCCCTACCCTTTCCTTTCGATCCTTACTTTTTCCTTTAAACCAAACACAGCAAACATAGCTTTGAGGACACATGTTAATGTTTTGACGTTTGGGAGAGTAAGTTCGTTGAGCAGCTGTGTTCCGGACAAGGAAAAGTTACTATCAGGAAAAGTTACTATTAGTTTCAATTTACAGTCTCTTGCATATGAAATTGCCAATGTTAACCTTTTAGATTTTCACCAAAAAACAACTTTTATGAATTTTGTGCGGGGCCCAACTCGGAACGTGAGAAGCCATATCCCGAAGTCTCTTCCAAAGGGGCATTAATTGTTAGGAAATTAAGGACTTGAGAGTCACTTTAACACCCTGTCAAACATCCGCTTTGCAAGGGTTAACTGGTGTAGGTTTATATCTATTCAATTGTTTAGGCTACAGTTTCTCTATCCTCCTCAAAGCAATTTCAAGCAAATACTTTATTTCGGCTCAATTTGTATTTGTAGGACTTCAAATCAAAATTTGCCCATACATATGGTATGATATGCATCATGGTGGCAAAATACCAATCCATCCATATTGACCCACATTCACCATGATCTATCATCAATTATTGTTAAAAGGTCATAACTCACCCTGATTTATTCATATTGACCCATTTGACCCATCCATATTGACTCTTAACACCCTCACCCATATTAACCCACCTACTTATATATTTGAAATAATAATTTTTGAGAGAATAATCTCTCTCAAGACTGTCACGTGACAAAAACGAGTCAAGTCAACTCGTATATCAAAAAATGCAAAAAATAGTAGAAAATTGCAGAAAAATAAAAAAATACTAAAAATTGTAGAAAATTCATAACTTTTCTAGAAAAAATCAGAAAATTTGCAAAAAAAAACCAGAATATTGTAGAAAATGCAGAATAATACCAGAAAACTTCAGAAAATGTAGAAAAATACCAGAAATTTGCAAAAAATGCATAACTTTTATAAAAGTACTTTCGTAAAAGTGCTTTCACAAAAATACTTCCGTAAAAGTGCTTTCATAAAAGTACTTTCATAAGTGTTTTCGTGTAAAAGTGCTTTTGTAAAAGTAGTTTAGTAAAAGTGTTTTCACAAAAGTGCTTTCGTGTAAAGTACTTTTATAAAAGTGCTTTTATGTAAAAGTACTTTCATAAAAGTCATTTTCATAAAATTACTTTATAAAATTGTTTTTTGTAGAAGTGCTTTTTTGTGTAAAATTGCATCTGAATACGAAAGTTAATAAAATTTATTTTATTTCATTTTTTGTTTCAAAATGAAATGTAGCATGGTGGTTTTAGAATTCTAATGAGCTACAGACGCGTTAGGAGGTTTGAGTTTGGATCACTTTATCCTGACCCGCACGACTCAATTCGTCTTGACCTTAATGGGTACCTTCGACTCAACCCACCCTGACCCTTTTCCACTGACCCTATTGGATTACTCGGCCCATATTAACCTGCCAATAGATTGGATGGATATGGGTGGATTGGGTGGGCCAAATGTGTTAAGATTAAGGTTGCCAACCCTAATTACCTAATTAATATGGGCGCTTTTATTTTAGTTTTGCTGCATCAATGATGGCCAATGCCAATTCTTTCCCCATATTAAGGATTGGTTTTTATATCTAATTAATTATTCAGATTTATGACTGAAAACTAAGGGGGTATTTGTTTCATGGACTCGTGGTTACTTTCGTTTTCCATCTAGTTCACAAATAACCGGTGTTCTGAAGGATGCTTCCATTTTATTGTTGGTTCTATCTTCTATGGTTCTAGAACCTGTAAAATTCCCATATTTTAAATTGTATGGAGTTTTCTAATACAATCACATGGATCAATAAGAAGTCTCATATTGGCCAAGTGATTCAATGTATCACGCGTCAATTCTATAGAGTTTTTCTTATAAAAAAATCTAATATATAATTTGTACACATAATAGCTGTACGATGAAAGTTGAATGCTGATAAATGAATTGCTTTTATAGAATGCTGGTTGTGGTTCTTTGAGATTAAGAACACAATCGTTTTTGAAAAGAAGTGGTATGGTTCTGAAACACACCACCGTTTTTAACCACGAACTAAACAGCATGTTGTTTTTCTATGTGAAAGTTCCAATCAAGGTTCAAACTATTTGCATTTATTTAGGCTTTGTTTGCAATGAAAATTCAAACCGGATGCATTTACACCCTGTTCAGATTTTCAAAAGTTAGTTTGTAATTATGATTTAAATCCCCGACTGGTAGGAAATTTGCATTTTTTGTTTTATTTGTACTCATCTGCATTGTAAATTTTGCATTCCAAAAATCGATGTTTAAGGCCATGTCTGGTTTTCTACCTTGGGCCTTGTTCTTTCATTTTTTAATCATTATGGGCAAGAATGAATAACATTAGAGTGTTTGGTTACAAAATTCTTACCATGGACTTGGTTCTTTTCAAAATGAAAACTCAGTCCATGGTACAAAAAATTGAAATAGCCTGCAGCATGAAAAATAATCAATGCCCCATATTGCTCATTTTCATTTTTCAAAAAAGCTTTGTGCTGACAAGGTCTACAAAACTGCTAGCATAGATGCTTACTAGTGGACAACTGTAAAAATTTATGCAGTTATGCTGATGGACATCGACTGCAGGCCAGTCGAGGGTGAACATATATGGCAATGGTTTTAGAGGCCTAGACTGCCAACATAGAGCTTTTTTGAAGAATGAAAAAAAGCAACATGCATGGAGCATGTTTATATGATGTTAGGAATAGCAATAGGACAGGGCAGGGCCAAGTTTTGCATGCCCGGACCTCCAACTCAAGTACCTAGTTCCGACTAGAAATTCCAACACCAATCCTACATGCAAATCTCTTTTTTTTTTTTTTTTTTTTGAAACTTAAGTAGAACTATATTATGTTGTGTATATATGTATATATAAAGACACATACACATACAAAGACACACTTTTAGTGGGGTCAGGGTTGGACGTTGGATCAAGGTGGACAAATACCATTCTTGCCCCATCCCCCAGTCATCAAAGTTTGGGGTTTTCCAAAACTCGCCTTGGCCAGGGTGGGGCAGGTTGGAGCTTCAATGGGGACAGGTTAAATTTCCATCTCTATATTGTTACTATATTATGCTTATTGATATACCAATTTGATGAAATTGTTAGACATTTTATACTTTTTCATGTTACTCTTTTATTTTTAATTTTACAATTTTCAATTTCCATTTCTATTTAGAATTTCCAAGCTCTTTTCTTCATTTACACAATTGCCTACTCAATTCAGCAATTAGTTTTAATAGATGCTAATTGCTTCCTTTATACTTTCTTTTATGCAACCAAATGCAAAAGCTTTTCTAGTTTCTTGTCTTTTTTTTTGTTTATCATATTTTGCATTATAGATATAGGGCCCATGTGGTACATTTGTGTTTTGTTGGTGTGGGTCTTGCATGTTTCGACTATATATCCGCTATATATATCTATATTATTATTTTGATCGATAAAAAAGCAAAGAATTCATGCTTTTTGGTTTACAGCAACATTTTCTCATTATGCCCATTTCTACCTCCTTTCTAAAATTTTATAATTGAAAAAGAGTTGAACCAAGAATGACCTAAATGAATACCACCTCCCCCTTCACTTTTTCTGGTGTAAAGCAGAGACCACATATCCACATCATTTTCATTTTACTCCCGTTCAAATAAGCTTCAATTTTAACTCTTTCATATAAAGTAAGGGCCACATCATTTTACCTATAACTTTACTCCTCCCAAATAAACACACAAAATTAAATTGGAAAAAGTATACCGGAATTTGCACCCAGCCCATTTGTACTCCCATGCAATTTCAGTATTTCAATAATGCAAGTTCAAACAAATGGAGGCTTAGAGTCTAAGTTTCATGATACCGTTTTAAGAGATAGAATGATAGATTAGGATGCACTTATGAAAGCTTCTCAAAAGTGGAATGATTAAAATACGCATTGATACAGTTATTAAACCTATATGATTATGTTTATATGGAATTGTGGAACCTACATCCTAAAATTCTGGCAGACACTACAGCTGTTTCTTCTAGATTGCTGACTGGAATGCAAAGCTAGAATTCTGGAAATTTGACCATTGTCTTCAGAAAATATTACCTGTGACCACAGTTGCAGAACAATTCAGCGACCCCCCAATGTATAGTGAACACACCACCCTTTGAAATAAAAAATCAACTGATGTGATGTGTTGAATTAAGGTTATATTTGGTTTGAAGGAAAATGTACGGAAAGGAAGGGAAAGGTAGGGAAACCTTTACAAACCTTGTATTAGTATCCCTATCTTTCCCTTCCTTTCCAGCCTAATTGCAAAGGGTGGTGTGTTCGTTCTTCATTGGGGTCCCAGGATTTTCTGTAACTATAGTAGAAGGTAATGCGAGCTCTATTGTCTTTTCTCCTTTCCTTTTTTTTTTTTTTTTCTTTTGTTAACTAGCTGCACTATTCAACTAATCAGTGTTTGCTTCTGCTTCCTACAGTTGATCCCAAGAAGTGTGACACTTCACTAGCAATTCTTGGTGTAATTATTTATTTTATTATAATGAAATGAATACTATTTTGATAGATAGATAGATAGATAAGGTATTACTAATCAAATGGCTCCAACGGGTATTATGTATTTATCAAGTGTGGAGGCTTCTGGCCATCTATTTATTCTTCCAAATAATGTAACACAGGGTTAGCAACACAGTTCTGTTTTGGTCCTAAAACTGGATGATGTTTGTCTTTTTGATCGTGACTCGTGAGATAATGTGTTGCTTTAATGTTTTAAGAGAAATTTTTGTAGAACTGTTGAGTGTTGATAAAATTTATTTTATATCTAAACTGCCGGTTGTTAGAGGTACATTTTTCTTTGCATTGTAAACCATTAATCTGGAATATTGAGTCAATCCAGCTGGATCCCCATCTGTGACTGTCAGTCTTTCACACAATGCACCCCCAACAGCAAGACATGGGCAGTCATTTCGTACCTCTGTTTTCCTTTTAAGCTTACAACTGGTGTATATTTTATAAGATCTTTTGCTCTAAAGGCCTCATAGTTTTCTATGAGAAGTGAAAACTTAAAAGCACTCCTACAAATTTATTGAAACACATGAGATATTTTGTATTTTTTTTTCTATGTTCTAAAAACAGAGTAGGTTGTTTTACTTACCTGGAGCTGGAATGTTGCATAGAATAGAGTTGTATGGTGGGAATATGAGCTATCTTAGGCCAGTCTTCTCCTCCCTCTTGCAATCGACTTTTTATTTCTTCAGGGCACTTCCAAATAGTCAAAGAATGGAGGCTGCTGGGCAGTTTCTCCTCAGAAATAGACTTGGTATTTTTAGACCAATAGATAGTCAATTCTTGGAGAGAGGTGAGCTTGTTCAGTCCCTTGGGCAAGAAGGACGAGAGACTGGATTTATAGATCTTCAATTTGGGAAGAGAAGCAAGATCTTGTAACCCAACACCCTCCTCCAAAACAGGTGTCATTTTATTGGTCCACTCGATGATCAATTCCTGGAATGATGTGAGCTTGTTGAGTCCCTTGGGCAAGTATGCTAGACTTTCACAGCCTCTAATTTCCAATCTCCTAAGAGAGGCCAGAGCTTGTAAGTCTGGCAATGATTGAAGCATATTGCAATTGTAGATTTCCAAATTCTGAAGAATGGCAAGATCTTGTAATCCCTTTGGCAATGCCAAGAGGCTTTGAAAACACCAAATTTTAAGTGTTTCAAGTGTTTTTGCCAAAGGCTGCAATATTGCTGGGGGTAGGAATGTTGTATTTGGAAAATTACGAATCTCCAACTTGGACAATGAAGGGCAATTATGCATACAACTCAATATTCTCCCATCACAATTTTCTAATGATAGTCTAGAAGTGGATGGAAGCATTGGCAGATAAGTCAACACAGAACATGCCCTAATGTCTACTTCTTCCACAGAAGGGAGGAGATGGGGCAACTTCACTAAATTGGGACAACATCCAATCGAAAGCTCTTTAAGGCAAGGAAATTCACCTTCCTCTGCTCCCCACCATCCCCTCAAACTTTTCATCTTCTGGATGCATAGCAACTCCAACATTTGAAATCCCTTGTAATTGTTGTTGTTATCTCTGCACCCATAAAACTCTTTACCCATATATTCCACTTCTTTCATACCATGCATATACAGGTATTTCAGTGAAGGTAGGTTCCCAAAAGCAGGGAGGAATGTGCAATTTTTGCAGCCATAGAGTTGTATATGGACCAACATATCATAATGCTGGAATTCTTTCATCATCCAGTTTGGAAAACTTGATCCACCATAATGATGTAAACCGAGACACCTCAACTTTGTAGAAGGTTGTAGGCCCTCAAGTACAGATTCTGCACTTGCTCCATTTCCTGGAAAGTTTCCATCAAAATTGCTGCTCCATTCTAACGTTAACTTAGTGATTTGATACTTATTCATCAGGTTAGCTCTTTTGGCCTTCTCAATATCAGATACATTCTCCAGCCCTAAACATGCAAGTCATCTCTAACATGACACAGGTCTTTCAACTCTCCTATTGTGCTTCCGTCGTTGTCATTCTTCTTTCTCACATTGAAGAAACGCAATGTTTTCAAAAAACATAATCTCCTAATGCCTCTTTGAGTGAATTTGTTCCACATGTTGCATTGTTCTCCCCAGATATTGTCACCCATCTCTATGTGTTGGAGGCTGATTAGGTTTCCCATGTTTTCAGGAAATTCATCAAGCACACAACCATTAAGCATCAATATTTGCAAATTGTATAGGTTGCACAATGACTCGGGTAGCACTTGAATGCCAGTCCAGTTGAGGTTAAGCAATCTTAGATGTTTCAAATTACCAATTGAATCCGGCAAACTATTGAAACTATTAATTCCACTCAAATCCAACACACGTAGGCATCCAAATTGTTCAATTAAGTGACGAGGGCCATGTAAAACTTCTTCCTCCTTAAGAAACCAACTTCTTTGTAACAATATAAATGTCGATAAATCCTTGTATTTGTATAATTCCATTTCCATTGGCTCTGGTTGGAAACTAACCATTGATATACAATGCACCTTTTCAGAGATGGTGTTATGTGATTTTCCTTTCTCCAACCTATAATACTTGTCTTTTGAAACTAACTCTGCTAAATCATGCATCATATCATGCATCAAGAATATGCTTTCATCAATATCTGAGTACTTTTGGAAAAAGGACCTATTCAACAATTCATCAAAGTATTTGCTGCCAAGGTCTTCTATAATGTCAACTTGTTTGGATGGAATAAAACCTTCTGCTATCCAAAATAGGATCAGAGTTTTCTTATCAAATCTATAGTCTTTAGGAAATAAAGAGCAATATGCAAAGCACAGTTTTAAATGTGCTGGAAGGTAGTGATAACTAAGACGCAAAGCTGGCAAAGTCTCATCTCCTTCTACCTCCCACATTTCACCTTTTAAGATTAAATCCCATTTCTTCACATCTGACTCATTGCATAGAAGTCCACCCAATGTATTTATTGCTAGGGGCAACCCTTTGCATTTCTCAACTATTCTCTTTCCGATTTCTTCTAGTCTCGGATCTATGCCAAAATTTTCCTCATCAAAGGCCTTTTTCTTGAATAACTCCCAACAATCTTTGTTTGGTAAAAGTTTCAACTCAAGAGTTTTTATAGCACCTGTAATGGAGGAAATGCTTTTAAATCGCGTGGTCACTATAATTCTACTTCCTTTGTCTGCAACACTAAATGAGACCTTAAGGGCATTCCAGGTTTTATGATCAACACTCCATATGTCATCGAGCACAAGTAATAATCTCTTTCCCCTTAGTGCATCTCGAAGTTCACATTGAAGCAGGTCTAAGTTACTGATATTGCATTCTTTCCTAGTTGCAGACTCTAGAATTTTTCTACTTAACCTAAAAGCATTAAAATCTTCAGACACGCAAACCCATGCCCTCATTTGAAAATGTTTTACAACATTTGGGTGATTGTAGATAAGTTGAGCAAGCGTTGTCTTGCCAATACCACCAATACCCACTATAGAAATAACATAAATTTTCTTGTTATCGTATTGATCAGATAACAATATTTTTATCATCTCTTTTGCATCTTCCTCCCTACCAAAAACATCAGATTCATCGACAAAGGAAACACTCTCCTGACGTTTGTCTAATGAGGAAACAGTTTGTAGTCTTCTTTCCTTCACGTCAAGTTCCCATTTATCTGAACTAATCAAATTGAGATAATTGGGTTTGATCTTCTCTTCAATCTCAGCCATCTTTTTTTTCAGATCATTTATGACACTTGGGATTTCATATTTATGCAATATCTGTTGCTTGTTGAAAGAAAAGTTGATGTATTCGCGTACCTTTCTCCCCGACCCGGTCCTAGAAATGTTTAGATTGCTCTCATCTTCGAGACACTGTCGGTGAGATTCATAAATGAACTCGTCCATAGTATAAGTGGCACTATAAACCACATCCCTGATCTCTCTAAGGAAAATCTTCAAGCATGTATCTTTCATTTGCATCTCCTCTGCAACACAAGATATTTCATAAATCAGTTGGAGTATTTTGCAGAGGTCTCTCAGTTCATCTTCAACGCCCCAATTCAACCCAAAATCAATCAACAAATTGGAGCACAACTTGTCAAGCAATGCCTGAACAAGTGGAGATATCACCACGTCTTCTCCTGTTGCCATACTTTCTTGACTGTTGGACTTGGACGACGTATGAAGGAGAAAGAGAAGCGTGAAATCTAACTGGAAATCGAAAATTTTGGCCTCTGGATATATTTTTTTTTAATTGTCAAATAATTAGCATCTAATTGATCCCCGCTTTTATGATGCCGGAGTGGTTAAATCGTCCAAAGTCGTGGTCAAATAATTAGCATCAAAGTCGGGCCCGATATTTTAGGCTAGAACCCGAGCCCGGGGTTTGAAATCTTGTTCAAGTCCGGCCTAGCCTCTCCGGTCTGTCGGATTATCTGGCCCGTGAACAGGTTTATTCAACACCCCTCTCCCATGACTCCACACCCCAGCCCCAATCTGCCAATCATTGATTCTTAGACTATGGGTGCAAATTGATCCGATCCTATTTGATCGAATTTGGAGGATCAGCCCTGTTCAGATCTTTGCATCGAATTCGAATCACTGCTATTTGATTCAAAAAAGATTCCATCTGATATATATGTTATATATTTATATAAATAAATATATATAATAAGTATATATGTTATTTATTTATTTATAAATATATATTTATATTTTTATAAAATCATATATATATGATGAAAATAATTAAAAATATTTGTATTTTTTTATTTTCTTTATTTAAATTGCTATATTTTATTTTTAACAATTTATTAATTTTTAAAGAAAAGAAATCAAATCGAATCAGACCCAAATATCTGATTTCCTAATTGAATTCAAATTCAGATCCATGTCTATCGAATCTAATGCAATTAATAATATCTGATAAGATTCAGATATACCCTGATTTGAATCCATCGGATCGTTTGCATCCCTATCTTAGATAAAGGCCTGTTTTGACAAATGAATGAATCTGTCCAAATAAAGGAAAAGAAAATAAACAAAGTCTATTGACTTGAAAAAAAATTTGAGAGTTGGCGTCCTGGGGAATTCTGATGGGCCATTTTACTTGAGACCCATTATGCAATCCAGCTCGGACTCAGTCCTCATAATACCCTGTTTACACCGTTCTCACCGCCATTTGCAACCGTATATTAGGAATATCTTCATATTTTTATGTTTTATTTTATGGGAAGATATTCATAATTCACAGCTGCAAGTGGCCGTGAATACAGTGTTGTAAGTACTGAATCCGATCTCTATGCAATTAGCGTGGATTTATTATTTGATTTAGGACATTAAATATTAAAATTTGGTTTAACTTATGATTAAATAATTTATATTATCTACAAGAATTGGATTCACTCTAGGAATGAAAACGGGGCAGGTTTGGGGTGGGGATTATATTTCCTGTCTCCGCCCCCAATTCTGAAATTAACCCCCATCTTCGTCCCCGATCCCTATTGGAGATAAAGTTTGTCCTCAATTCTCGATCCCCAATGAGGATGGATTCATTGTGGGGACCCGAATCCTAAAAATTTTTTAGATAATAGTTTTTTTTTTTGAAAAAAGATTTACTTAAAATAAATAAGAATTTTAAATTATAAATAATGTTAGAAATATGTTTTGATATATATATATATATATATATATATATATATATATATAAATATTGGGATCGGGGACCTCAATCCCCATCCCCGACCCCATTGAGTTGGGGAAAGTTGGGTTTCCATCGGGGATAGGAAAAATTGTCATCCCTAATTCATTCTAATGTAATGTCTTTAAGACTTTTATTCAAATTATTAATTTAGTTAGGAAAATAAAATAAAATTGGATTTGATTTGTTATTAGAGAATACAGGTTAATTATCCTACTATTAGATTGGGAAACAGCACGATTTGAGAACCAGAATGGGATCTGCTAACTGCACTGTACATATATTTTACTTTAAATAAAACTCATTTTGAAGAAGCACTTTTATATGAAGGATTTGAGAGGAAATTAAAAATTTCCAATTTTTTTGTCCTAATTAAAAATATAAGGAGGTTTTCACCAATATGCTTTTATGCAAGATTTTGTTTTTGAAAACAAAAACAACTGCCATGTTGAAAAAATCCATTGGTTATTCATACAGAATTCAGTATACATATAACATGAGTGTTAATATGTTAATTTTCTACAAATGGACCCGCTGATTGATGGAATGGGCCTATTGAATATCATGTATCTATATGTTGAGGATTGCAACCATTAATAATGCAACGCCACCTTACACAGTTGGTGTTCTTGTTTCGTTTGATTCACAACCAATACTTTTTGTAATCTTGTTGGTTTGGATTGGTAAGCCCAGAACATATAAATGGGCTTCTTTGGCAATGGCGATGTGGTGGCCTTGGAGGAAAAAAGTAGGGCACACATTATAAGTTTCAAAGGCCAACTCTTGGGCTTCAGTATATGAAAGGTTTACAAGTTTCAGTCGAAGACACGAGTAGAAACATATCTTCTTATTTCTTCTCCTTTAACTTTCACCAAGTAGGCCTTTGAAGGTGATGCTGTCTGATTCGAGGTGTTTCAAATTAAGATCGCAATCAGACAATTTTGCTAAATGAGTGAAATCGAGGTAAAAGGATGAAGTCGTGCATCGGAATCTGTAATCAAGAATAAAGGTCAGAGGCCCGAGGAAGTGCTCGTCCGCGCCGAAGAAGTAAAGTAGAAGTATAAAGATTCAAAAGTCCCTTACTCCGAGCAGAAATTACCTATTTATAACTGGAGGTCCGTGTCCTATTCAGATGAAGCTTTCAGGGTTGTTGGGAAGAAATTACCTATCGAGGTTAACTTTTTTGTCCATGCGGGACTCTCTTTCTTGATTGCGCTTATTTATCCCATGTGATACCGATGTGACTGGAGAGAAAAAATAGCCACAAAAGCTGCCATGTGGCAACCATGGCCAACTCAAACATAACCAAAACAGAAGCCAAGGCATTTAATGGTTTGTCTCAGGGCAACGTATTGGAGGCTACATTTCAACCAAGGCTGAGTGTTAATAGGGCTAAGAATTGCAAAAGGATCGAAACTTCTCTCCATTATTAGTAGTGGGTAATTCAGACAACATAAATAGGCTAGGAAAGAGTTAAAGGAAGTCCCTTGGATATTAATAGCGTTTTGGTTGAAACAAGGGACTTGTTTTTTCTGTGAATGCTTCTCTTAGATGGATCCCCCACGAGATCAAAATCCGTTAGCCAATATTTTGGCAAAAATTGGAGTTAATAAATTGGATATGTATAGCAGCACTGTAATGCTTTGATTTTTTTTGGTATCTTCTCTCAAAAACCACTAACTCATGGCTCTCGAATCAGAAAAATGGTGTTCTTTTAAATACAGTTATTTATAGCTTTCTCAGCCAGAAAACATGGTTCACTAATGTGAACATAACATAACAATTATAAGGTGTGTCTCATAGCTCAAATCATAATGCTTCTACTTGATAATCATACAATCAAAAGCAAATAGTGAAATTACATGTACATATGAATCATATAATCAATGATTATATGCCTTGCATGGGATTTGACAAAAGAATTTGGGACAAAAAAGTTAGGGGTACAATTTAGGTGAGCCCAACCTGAGCCTGGTCTGGCTCAATTAAATCTTTTTTTTGAGTTTTTGAACTATAAATGGGCTTGGGCCAAAAACCTCAGGTCTAATTAGGTTAGTCTTGGATTGAGGTATAGAGCAAGGTTTAAAGTATTGATACAGGGCGTATCGGTTTGTTTTGGTACTGTTTTTTTTATTTTTTTTCAAATCTGATTCAGAGGGGCTGGTCCCGTGAACCATTCGCTGACCCAAAACACCCCTCGTAGGGAAGTATTGGGAAGGCCCCGATACAATACATATTGGCTGATACAATCCGATACATATCAAAATTTTGATCCTTTGGTATCGAGTACCCTAACTTGACTCGGTCCAATTTGAGCCTACCCAAAATTTTATGATATACATATTTACATATTATCAACCTATTTTACTTGGAAATTGATTTATAAAGTTAAATACACCCAAGCCCAAGCCCAGCTCAAGATGTTGGGTTAAGTTCAAGTTAGGCATAACATTACCCCTTATGGTTTAGTTAATTGACTAAGTGTATCCTTACTATTTGAAAATTGACTAACATTACCCATTCTATTTCTGACAATTGACTAATACTTTCCTTACCGTTAATTCTCCTTAATATTTGGGGTAAATTACAAAGACTCCCTTGTACTATAAGGTTAGTGATAAAGTCCCCCCTATACTTTTTTTTTGTGACAAAGACCCCCTGAACCTTAACCGTTAGACAAAGACCCCCTTAACCGTTAAGTCAATTGATGGAAAGCATTAAATTACCAAAGTACCTCACTAATTTTTTTTCAATTTTCTTTTTCTTGTTTTTTTTTTCTTAAAATCTATTTAACCTATTGTTTTCCTTAGTTTTAAGTTTCACTTCACATACCTTGATGTTGTCTTTGATTAAGTCTTCTAATTCATCATTTTTCACATTTTCCCCTTTATTCCGTCGGTATCAAGAGAGAGAAACGGAGATATAAGGATACTAACAGTGATTGCTCCTCGTTCAAGAAGTAAATTCCTTGATTGACCCTTCATCAGACATCAACCCCACAGGTTGGGTTGCCCATTTGGACAAAGAGGGAAGAAGAAGAAAAAACATAAAGGAAAGAGAAATATCGATAGAAATTAGGAATGACAATTTTCCCTATTTCCCCGATCTCCATGGAGATCCGCCCCGAATGGGGTGGGGATGGGGATGATTTTCCCTCGTGGGGACGGGGATAGGGAAATTTTCATCCCCGTTAGCGGGGACGGGGTGGGGACGAGGAGAGCACTCTTGCCCCACGGGGACCCCGATCCCCGCCCATGGGGTCCCTACTAATATATATGTATATATGTATACATACATCTATATATTAATATTTTAAAAATATGATTGAATATGTTTGAATATTTTTTAATAGATTGAAAATTTTAATTATTTTATTTTTATTTTTTAAATAAAACAAAAAAAAATTATTAACATTATAAAAAATTATAGGAAATGGGGATCCCCATGGGGATGGGATGGGGAAAACCTTCTCCCCACTAACGGGATGGGAACAAAGACGGGATGAAGATTTTCACGGAGACGGAGATGGGGAGAGGAGAATTCAAAGCAGAGGAAGCATAACCATTCCTAATAGAAATTGAGTGTACCGGTGGCATAACCATCCCCGGTAAACGGTGGAACAAGGAGAGTTCAAAGCAGAGGAGGCATGACGAGCCAGAGAAAGAAAGAGGGGAATCTAATAATGATAAAAAGGTTTGGTGGGTATTCAAATTTTAACTAAATAATAAATTATTCATTTAAGACAAAACGACTGTTAATCTGCAACGACGATGTGAGCTCCCACAGGGTTGCACTAGCTGATACTCAAAGGCGGTTCCGACCTGAATATCAGTGTTCCGGCTGGCAAATGTGAAATACGCCAGACAATTGACGTAGATATTGTTGGGGAAGAATGGGGTCACTATAACTTTGGAGGAGAAGCTCTGAGGCGCGTCTGAAGACACTGTCTTAAGAACGTTATTTGCCCCCACTCAGTTTTACTGAGTTTGCTGTTGGGTTACAAGCAAATTCGTTCACAGGATACAACATAGCCTTGGGCGAGAATCTACAACCAGCAAAGTTGAAGAGTCTCCAGAGAAACCTTCTGTGAGACTGTAGCAGACTGGACTGAGAGAGAGAGAGAGTGAGTGAATTTCGAAATTGTGTGTTTTGGAGTCTGATTCATGCTCCTTAAATAATTTGTGAAGAGGTATGAAGAAAAGGTAGGTGYTGRTTTARARRRRGCACMTTRAAYARTCWCAAWTTCAAACATTGTGACTGTTTAAAAAGTAGTTAACAGTTGGTGATTGTTAACTTTGAATTGTGCCTCTTGATCACACCCGATTGAATCATGACCGTTGATCTCATCAATGGTGATCAACGGTCATCAACGCACCAAAACCAGAGCCGCCCATCACGAGCGATGCGGATGCGCGCAAAGTGCGAGCAAAGTGCGCTTCTAAAGCGCCCCATTGCGCCGCACACACGTGCGCGCGTGTTGCGCGGTATCGAATCCCCATACTCTCCTCTACTAATTCTAAGGAGTGTAAATCAGTTTCTATTGAAATACTGAAAGCAAAACTTATAATTTTCCAATGTAGGACAAGTTCAAAACTGGGTTTTGCAAGAGAACTGATTTTTTTCAATCAAGTGTACAGGTGCAATTTCTCATGTAATTGATCAATCAAACTCATTGGATTTAATCTCTCATGAGATTAAAATCCAACAATCCCCCACTTTGATTGATCAATTACATAGTTCTCTCTCAATCCAAACTACTATGACACACTTATGCATACAAAATGTGTTTATCAACTTAAACCTCTTGTTAGTATAATTATCTCAGAGCCTTGTCAAAGTTATTGGTGGTAAGACCTTAAACCAATTACTCTCAAGACAGACCGGAGACACCTATACACACAAAAATGTCCAGTCTCTACAAGAGTTTCAAATTTTGCTTAGCACTGTTATGGCCATGTGCTTCTTTCTTAGTTTCATGAACAATCTCGAGAGCAAACCCATACCCTCATGAGAAGTGGCACCACTTCTATATTCACATAGGTGAAGTTCCACTATGTGCTCCGTTATTTGACGCATTTCAGAACCTCATTAAGAATTTATCTCAACCTCTCATCATAACGGACATCACTATTTATGTTGTGATGGGAAAATTCTCAATGTCAGTGCTAACAGTCACATTGCTGTAACTTGTTGTTACCCATTAAACCCAATACTGATGGTTTTTCAGTTCAGGTTGGGTTACCATTACAGGTGACTAAGTAAAGGGTTTTAATCTCATCTCTTTGGTTGTCATTCTTACCAATTCTCTGGCCAAGCCCTTGGTAAGAGGATCAGCCAAGTTTTTACTTAACCTCACATAGGTTATAGTGATGACTCCATCTTGAATCAGTTGCCTAACAAATTCATATCTCAGACTTATATGTCTGGACTTACCATTGTAGGTACCACTGTAGGCCCTTGACAGAGTTGCCTCACTATCATAGTAAATGGAAATTGGAGGCATAGGACTAGGCCAAAGTTTTATATCTAATAATAAATTCCTAATCCATTTAGCATCTTTTCCAGTAGCCGCTAAGGCTATGAATTCGGATTCCATTGTCAAGTGAGATATACAAGTTTGTCTCTTGGATGCCCAAGAGATTGCACCCCCACTAAGGACGAAAATCCATCCAGATGTGGACTTGTTGTCTCTATTACAGGTAATCCAACTTGCATCAGTGTACCCTTCTAGTACAGCTRGATAATCACARTAAAAYAAGCCAAGTTCCAAGGTTCTCTTGAGATACCCAAGAACTCTCCCAATTGCCTTCTAATGCTCTGCACTGGGATTACTTGTAAACCGACTGAGTTTACTTACTGCAAATGCAATATCAGGTCTGGTACATAGCATAGCATACATCAAGCTTCCTACTACACTAGCATACTCAAGTTGTGTAATTGCTTTACTAGTATTTTTTACTAACTTTATACTAGAATCATATGGCGTGCTATATTTTTTAAACCCTAAATGCTTAAATGGTTGGCTTAATGCATAGCCCCTACTATGCTTTTTAACTTTTATTCCCAAGATGCTATCTACTTCTCCTAAATCTTTCATCTTGAAAACAAAGGATAAGTAGTTTTTAGTTTCATTTATGCCAACCATATTTGTACCCACAATAAGTATATCATCCACATAAAGACATACAATTACTCCCTAATTTTCGTGAATTTTGAGTAGATGCATCTATCAGCACTATTATGTTTAAAACCAAAAGCTAGAATGCAAGAATCAAATTTCTCATGCCACTGTTTAGGTGCTTGTTTTAATCCATATAGTGATTTAACCAATTTACAGACTTTCTTCTCGTTTCCAAGAAGAACAAATCCTTCTGGTTGTTCCATGTAAACCTCTTCATTTAAATCACCATTTAAGAAAGTAGTTTTAACATCCATTTGGTGAATAGATAAGTGATAAATGGATGCTAATCTTATGAGTGTTCTAATAGAAGTTGTTCTAACTATTAGTGCATAGGTCTCAAAATAATCAATCATTTCCCTTTGACTAAATCCTTTGGCTACCAATCTAGCCTTAAAAGTTTGCATAGTTCCATCAGTGTTGTATTTTCTTCTAAACACCCATTTACATTTTATTGGTTTTGATCCTAGAGGCAAATCTACTAGTACCCATGTGTTATTTAACATTATTGAATCAATTTCATCATTTATAGCTTCCTTCCAAAAGGCAGCATCTCTAGAGGTCATGGCCTCACTATAGGTTTTTGGATCATTTTCAATGTTTAGGACAATGGGTATTTTATTTAAAATCTTTTCTCTATCAGTCTCAACCAAAAATACAATTGACTGAGTAGAGATAAAATCTGAACCTAAGTGTTTTTCTGTTCTTTGTCTTTGACTTCTTCTAAGTCCTATTGTAGGTGTTACAGTTGTGTCATTTGTTCTTTCAGTCTCATTATTATCAACATGTATTGAGATATGAGTTTCTCTGTCATTTTCTGTGGATTCATTTTCTGTAGGTTCAGAACACAGTTTATTTTCAAAGAATTCAACATCTCTAGTTTCAATTATTATGTTGGACTCTAAGTCTAGAAGCCTATAGGCCTTGCTATGTTCTGCATATCCAACAAACATACTTTTCTTAGCTCTAAGTCCTAATTTAGTTCTTTTAGGATCTGGAACTCTATAATATGCTAAACACCCCCACACTTTTAGATATGCTAAATTAGGCTTTCTTCCTATCCATAATTCATATGGGCATTTGTTATTAATTATAGAAACAATTCTGTTATGTAAATGACATGCTGTTAGGGAGCACATATTTCACATTTGAACATATTTCTCTCAATAGTACTAGGGAAATGTTTCTTAGCCATTTTAGATTTTACACATTTCACATTTTTCAGTTGATTCATTGTTGTAAGCAATTATACCTAATTTGCTCATGTTCTTTATGGATTTAAAATTCAAGTGTACTAATCTATCATGCCATAAAGAGAAAGAATCAACAATATAAGCAGAAATTTTTCCTTCATTAATACTTAATTTGAACATACCATTACAACCATATCCCTTTCCAACAAACATCCCATTGAAATACTGAAAACAAAACTTATAATTTTCTAATGTGGGACAAGTTCAAAATTGGGTTTTGCAAGAGAAAACTGATTTTTTCAATCAAGTGTACAGGTGCAATTTCTCATGTAATTGATCAATCAAACTCATTGGATTTAATCTCTCATGAGATTAAAATCCAACAGATATGGTAGTGGCTTGAGATCCAAGTACCCACCTTCCATCTAACCCGTCCATAGACCTTGATTTTGATCAAGACCGTCCTGATGTTCTGATCCTGAGACAGCGAGACCACCGGATAAGGTGCAATCAGCACGTTTGATCCGTAGATGAACGGCGACCAGATGTTGAAGTCTTTGTGACCCTCGTACGTCGGAGGCAATCTAGTAGGGAGAGTGATCTGCTGGTTGCTGTACTCCACGAACACATCGAGTCTGTTGTAGTATATGCTGATCTTGTCGTTTGGGTTCCTCTTATGGCCGTGTTTGCCACAATCCCCCTTCTTCTCCGACATCGCTTCTCGCCGTATTCCGGCCCACTTAGCTTCCTAAAAGCACCGTCTCTGTTTCAAAAGACAGCTTTGTCTCTCGAGCCTTGTTTGAGAGCAATACGACAGTTTCTGCAACAACCCGGAACGAATAAGATACACCTATCTCGAGGTTGGACCATTTTATTCTGTTTCTTTGCTTTGGTTACTTAAGCTCATATTTATTTTCTTTGATTTTTCTATAGGATTATTCAACGATTTGAAGGTTTATATCTATGAGCTCCCTTTAAGATACAACACGGATTGGATATTGAATGAGAGATGCAGCAACCATCTCTTTTCAGCGGAGGTGGCGATACACAAACCATTCCTGGATAGTGATGTACGGACACTCAATGCATGGGTAGTCCGGACTCCTTACACTTGAATGGTGAAGACAATGAACGGTATAAAAAGGGTAGTTTGGATATTTAACAATTGAATGATTTTTTTTTGGGAGTACACATTAACGAAAGGAGTCTTTGTCCCCAAAGTACAAGTGGGTTTTTGTAATTTATCCTAATATTCGTTAAAACAAAACGGAAAAGAATATTTTATCTTTTAATTTTTTTCAAATTTTCAAAATAAATCAGGATAAAAGGGACCAATCGTGATGACAACGTCTCCACGGGCATAATGCGACAACCCGGGCTTGGAGCACTGCCGCAATTCGCATTGGTCCACTCCTCGAGCCGAATGATGGACCGGCTTTCACCATTTCACATCCGACCGGGGAACATCGCCGGCCCCCATCCGCTTTCCTTCCGACAATTTAAAGCATTCTTTGACTCTCTTTTCAAATTCCTTTGTACATGTCCAAATACAGCTTTCTACTGTTACTTTTTTATTCCCAGCTGCAACTGCTGGATACCGATCAACAGAAGATCTGAAAAAGAAATTTGTCCTACTCGTACATACCAAGGGATCAAAGAATCGGAGGGGGCGGAGTCGAGTATGTTACAGCCGAAGGAGTTGAGTACGTCAGACAAAGACATGATCGACGTCTTACAGAACTCGGTAAAACAGAGCTCTGCCGGAGACAGCAAAGGGGAGAGAGAGTACATGTCTTATGTGAGCTAAGCCGAAGGCGGTATCTCACATTTGCAGTGAGATAGCCTCGGTAAAACAGAGCTCCAACCTCCTTCTTCCTTCACTTTATTGTCAGATAACCTCGGTAATACAGATCTCACCGTCCCTTCCTCTTCACATACGTCGTCTTATGTGAGCTAAGGTGAATGTTTCCACAACCCGCTGAACTTCACGTGACTCTTCCTCCTCGTCCCGGAGTGGTAGGCCGGTTAATGGTGGTAGAGGGGTTTTTTGCCGACACTCTCAAAGGGGTTTTCAGGTGCAGAAATCGCTCCTCAATTTCTGTAGGAAAAGCTATCCACCAATTATCAAATTTTGTCTATTTCGTTGACTCTGCAAGAAAGGTCTAAGGTCTAGATTCAAATGAAACATTAAATGAATTTGGTACTTCCCTCTTCACCACCTCTCGTCTCCCTCTTTTGATCTTTTCCTCTCCGCCGCATCTCGTCTCCCTCTTTCGTCGGTTCCTCAGACGTGGAAAGGCAAAGGTTAAGGTTCCGTAGATGCTGGTGCTGGTGCGGAAGTTATTATAAGGATAAGTTGAGTATTTCTGAAAATTATAACAGTCATCGAGTCACGTGATTCACATTTGCAGGGTTTATGACGGAATGTTAAAGTAAGGAAAGTATTAGTTAATTGTCAAATACAGTAAGAATAATATTAATCAATTTTCAAATAATAAGGATAGTTTAAAAGTTTTATTCGATAACTTACTAATAAATAACAAAAATAAAATGACAATAATTAGGGATAATTTACCAACAACCAAGTCTCAAGTTTACCAACTAAAGCTTATGCCCAAATTTATGGCCCAACCCAAGCTAAACCTAATATCTTGGGCTGGGCTTAGGATTAGGCGTGTTGGACAGGCTCAAGTTGGATTAGGTCAAGCTTAGGCTACCCAAGGGTTTATTGGTAATTTTCTAGTATTTTTTTATTTTCCTGGAAAATTGAGAATTGTGGTAATTTCTGGTAATTTTGAATAGGTAGACATAATTTCTAGTAACTTTGAATAAATGCTAATAATTTACCGATAAATAATTCAAGGAAAATAAAAATAAATTAATAGCTACTCAAAATGATAAATAATTTATGCTAATTACTGATAACTTCTGGTAAGTTTTGCTAATTTCTGATAATTTCTAGTATTTTTTGATAATTACTAATAATATTAACAATTTTTTGATAATTTTCAAAAATTACTGACAATTTTCCAATAAACAATTTATTGATGTGGACAGCCTTGTTTTGATATATATATAGTACAGATGTGGTTCCCAAAAAAGAAGAAAAAAGAAATATTCTATCACTTTCAAAGAAAAAAAATGGTATGGCTTTGAATTAACCATACCACCCTTTTACTTAACCATGGACTGAACACCACCTCAGTTGTATCTTGGTTCTAAGGGTGTCAATGGACCGATTTTGGATTGGATCCCATCCAGTCCAAAATCAATTTGGATGGATTGAACAACAAGACATATTGGATTGGACTAATCAAGTCCAAAATATTTATTAGATTGAATTGGACTAGGTCCATCCGTAACAAATTTATATTGCATTGGGTTGGATTAAACCAATCTAAATCAAAATAAATTTGAACAGATTGGACGGTTCATTGAATTGGGCCAGTCCAAATTAGTTCAAAACACTCATTGGATTGGATTAGACCTGATCCATTTGTAATAGACCCATATATTCCACTTCTTTCATATCAAGCATAAATAAAGGTATTTCAGTAAAGGAAGGTTCCCAAAACCAGGGAGGAACATGCAATTTTTGCAGCCACAGTGTACATGGATTAACATATCGTAACACTGGAATTCCTTCATGGAAAACTTAATCCACCATAAAGTGAGAAATTTCAATTTTGTAGAAGGTTGTAGGTCCTCAGGCTCAGTTTGGAGGAATATAAATACAAATATGTACAGTTCAAATACATATAAAATAATACAAAATAAAAGGTTTTATGCTCTACATATTTGTATTTGTACTCCTTCCCTTCTGCACTTGCTCCATTTCCTGGAAAGTTTCCATCAAAATTGCTGCTCCATTCTAACATTAACTTGGCGATTTGATACTGATTCATCTTTTGGGTTTTATCTAGTACACAGAGGACAAATTCCAGAAGTCTAGCTTTGCATTCAATTTCGGCAATCTAGAAGCAGCAGTCGATAAATTTGTTTCTTTTTTCTTTCTTTTGGGTCTGCAGATTTGGTTTTCCTTTTTCTTCTTTCTTTCGGTAGAAATAAGTCCCAATTCAAAGCCGGGCTGCCAATCAACAATGCGAGACAGCCACTCAGGAAATATAAACCACCATCCAAGACAAAAGAACCATGTTTGGCCTTCTGAGCCAAGTAGTGGGTAGGGGTGTCAATGGACCGGGTTTGGGGTTAGACCCCATCTAAATCAAAATCAATGTGAATGGGTTAGACTGTTCAATAAGACTTTGAATTGGGCCTGTCCAGATTTAATGGTCCAAAGTATTTATAGGATTGGATTGGACCTAGCTCACCTGTAATGGATTTGTACCGATCCATTGACAGAAGATACGGCTAGGAGTGTCAATGGGCAGGGTTTGGGTTGGACCCAATCTGAAAATTAAGACCAATTTGAACAAGTTGGATGGTCCAATAAGATGCAATGAACTGGAACAGTCCAGACTTAATGGTCCGAAGTATTTATCAGGCTGCAATAGACCTGGTCCAGGTGTAATGTATTCATATTAGACCAGATTGGGTTGGACCAAAACTTGGTCCATTAACAGCCTATGAACATCCCTGTTGGCTTCCTTGAGGACAAAACAAAAGGAAATACTCTCAAAGTGCCAATTTAAGGGTGTCAAAAATAACGAAGGAATGGGCTGGGAGTTAATGGGCCTGATGGTTGCTTATACCCTCAGTTGCTCTCTCGAAGGTAGTCTCACTCGACCATTATTGGTAAAGTACCCAGTTGGTGGGCCCTTGTAAGCTCATCTCTGATTGCCAAATCTTAGGGCTCATTTGATTGCACTTTTTAAATGTCTGAATCTTAAAACATTGCTTTTCAGATCCATACACTTGTTTGGTTTCTCCTCTTAAATTTGATCTGAATCATATTTTCAAATCTTAATTTTGTAGACCTTGGGTCGGCTCTTAATGCGCTCAGACATGTTTCAGAGCCGGTGGAAGGTTGAAGCTGCCCTTACAATATTTTCAAAATGATGCATGCTACCCCTATCTTCTCGTGCGCTCATCTCTCTCTCTCTCTCTCTCCCTGTCTTCCTGCCATCGCCACTACAACTTGCAGCGGTGGCTCTCTCTCTCTTTCTCTCTCTCCCTGTCTTCTCACTTCCCACCACTGCCACTGCAATTGCAAGTTGCAGTGGTGGTTCTCTCTCTCTCCCTGCCTTCCCACTTCTCGCCATCGCCACTGCAAGTTGTAGTAGCGGTTCTCTCGCTCGTTCACTCTCTCTCTTTCTCCTTTGCTCTCTCTCTCTCTCCCTATCTTCCCACTTCTCGCCACCGCCGCTGCAACTTGCAACGACGGTTCTCTCACTCGCTCTCTCTCTCTCTCTCTCTATTCGCCCTATCTCCCCGCCACTGCCCTCTCTCTCTCTCTCTCCCCTGTCTTCCCACCATCACCACCGCCGTTGCAACATGCAATAGCGATGGTTCGGTGAATAATAATAATAATATTTTTAAATATTAATTATTTTAATTTATTATTAAACATTAATTACTTTTTTATTAAATTTACTTGTGTTATTTATTAATTATTAATTATTTTTATTAAGTAGTAATTTTTAATTATTTCATTAAGTTTTAAAAATTATTTTAATTTTTATTTGTGTAAATTATTAATTATTTTAATATTTTTATAGTCATTAAATTTTTAATTTTAATCGTTTCATTTATTAA